ACTTTTTCTTTTCTAATTTGGATGCCTTTTATTTCTTCTTCGTGTCTAATCACTTTGGCTAGCACTTCCAGTACTATGTCAAACAGGAGTAGTGAAAGTGGACATCCCTGTCTTGTTCCTGTTCTTAGGGGAAATGGTTTCAGTTTTTGTCCATTGAGTATGATGTTGGCTGTATGTTTGTCATATAAGGCTTTTATTATGTTAAGGTATGATCCCTCTATTCCCACTTTGCTGAGAGTTTTTATCAAGAAAGGGTGCTGGATTTTGTTAAATGCTTTTTCTGCATTGATTGATATGATTATGTGATTTTTGTCTCTCAATTTGTTTATGTGATGTATCACATTTATTCATTTGCTGATATTTTACCATCCTTGCATCCCCGGAATAAATCCCACTTGGTCATGGTGTAAGATCTTTCTAATGCAATGCTGGATCCTATTTGCTAGAATTGTGTTGACGATTTTAGAATCTATGTTCATCAAGGATATTGGCCTGTAGTTCTCTTTCTTTGTGGTGTCTTTATCTGGTTTTGGAATTATGGTAGTGCTGGCTTCATAGAAAGAGCTTGGAAGTTACCTTCCTCTTGAAATTTTTGGAATAATCTGAGGATTATAGGTTTTAGTTCTTCTTTGAATGCTTGGTAGAAATCCCCTGTAAAGTCGTCCAGACCAGGGCTTTTGTTTGCTGGAAGATTTTTGATTACTGCTTCATTTTCTTTAGTAGTTATTGGCCTATTTAGGTTTTTTGATTCTTCCTGATTGAGTTTTGGAAGCTTGTATTTTTCTAAGAATATGTCCATTTTGTCTAGGTTGTCCAGTTTGTTGGAATAGAGTTGTTCATAGTATTTTTTCATAAAACTTTGTATTTCTGTGGGGTCAGTTGTTATTTCAGCTCTTTAATTTTTGATTTTGTTTATTTGGGTCCTCTCTCTTTGCGCTTGATGAGCCTGGCTAGAGGTTCATCAATCTTGTTTACTTTTCAAAGAACCAGCTCTTGGTTTTATTGTTCTTTTGTACTGTTTTTGTTGTTGTTGCTGTTTTTGTTTTGTTTTGTTTTTGTTTTTTTGTGTTTTTTTTTTTTTTGGTCTCTATGTCAGTTATTCCACTCTGATTCCTAGATTTTTGTGATAACCTTATAACTGAGCTCTTTGCCCCTATTTTTTTCTAGATCAAATTCATCAAATTTATACTTCCAAATTAATCTCCCTGAAGCAATACTTTGCTTACTCTGTTAAGATTAAAAGCCAAACTCCTTATTACAATGTACACCTAGTATTTGAACATTCTCTATAGTACAGAGAAATCCAAAATTTTACCAGTTTAAATGGAAGAAGTTCATATTTCTCTTACATAAAATAAATTCCTAGTTAAGCAGTCCACGAACAGTATGGTGATTTCAGAAAATCACCAGAACCCAAGAGCTGTCCAACTCTATCTCCCATCAAAAGTGGATGGTACATGTTTCATGGTCTGAGATGACTGCGAGAGCTATAGCCATCATATTCAAGTTTAGCACTGCAAGGAAGAAAGGAGAAATGTATCTTCTCCCTTTGAAAGAGGCTTTAAAGAAGTACTACTGAGCACTTTCATCTCAATAACAAAAATTTTTTTCTTATGGTAACAAGCCGAAAGATTGGTTTGGGTATGCAGCATTTTAGTTGTAGGGTGGTTTGACCTGATAAAAAGCAAGATTCTTGTTATTGAGGAAGAAGTTATAGAGTAATAATGGTAGACAACCAGCAGTCTCTACTCACATTTTATAGAAGTCTTCATGACTAGTCCTTGTCTACCAGTTCAAGTGGGACCTTAGAATTTAGGAAAGCAGTTTCTGAAATAGTCACAAAGTTCTTAGGGTTGCTGGTATTAACCTGTTAAAAGGAAAGATGCTCAAAATGGATATTCAGTTCTTGATAACAACATTCTGACCCTGCAATAGTAAATAATTCCCATGAGGAAGAAAAGGGAGAAGAAAACAGAGAGAAATATAGAGCTGCACACAAAGCCCCCCCCCCTGAATGTTGCCCTCTACTGAGTTGAAATTGTAAGAGTTCACCAGATGAAATGAGTGATGTATAAAAGCAGATACAAAAAAGTAGTCTATACCTGTATTAGTACTAAAGAGAGACTGTAGAATATATATATAAATAAATATATATTCAGGGATCCCTAGCCAGTTTGGCTCAGTGGATAGAGTGTCGGCCTGCGGACTAAAGGGTCCCGGGTTTGACTCTGGTCAAGAGCATATGCCCAGATTGCGGGCTCAATCCCAGTGGAGGGCATACAGAAGGCAGTTGATCACTGATTCTCTCTCATCATGGATGTTTCTCTCTCCCTCTCCCTTCGTCTCTGAAATCAATAAAAACTTATTTTAAAAAATTTATATTCAGGGAAATGGAGTATAGAATGAATTAGATTTCTACTGCAAGCCCTCCCAAATTCTATCCTGTTTCTGTCACCTCAACAAAAATAATCTTCAGACAGAAAAAAAAGGAAAACCTTTCTTTAAGAGGGGGTTAAAGTCCAAACAAATAGAGAAGTTATAAGAGAAAATCTAAGGTGATTTAATGATCTTCAATTTAAAAAGATATCACTTGTAGTCCTTAAAAAATTTCATGCAACTTTCTGTAATTCAAGAGTCCATTGAATTGTTCCCCTTTCTATTTTGGTGTATCCTTCACTATCATGGATTTGTTCATAACCACCACCTTTACTCTGGCATATTTTTGTTTCTTACAGATCCCCACATGGAACTCAATCATCACCAATTAGAAATTACAGATTTGTTATCTAGCAAAGAGGAATGGTTTGAGAAACATTCATATTTATTGGTGAATGAGAGTAAACCTGCCAGTCTTAATCCTACCTCACTGTTTGTCACTTGTCCTAGAGACTCAAGATCTGTACACAGTGATGGATTTGCATCCAAAATCATGATTTATCTTTGGATGTTAAAAATCTTAGAGTGGAAATATATGATGGTATGAGAGTCACAAGAAAAAATAATGAAAACAAACACTATTGTCAGAGTAATGATGGTAGCATGTTGTTGAGTGTGATTAACTCAGAACTCTGACCCTGAGATCCATATAAAATGTGTAACAGTGGATACACAGTTGAAGACAGCAGTAAGGAAAAAATAATTCTTGAATCACCAGCAGTAATAAATTAATTAAATTTACAAATATAGTAAGATGAAATTAAGAAGAACAATGTGTAGTACAGATAAGTGCTCAAATGTTAGTTATCATCATCACATGTATGAAGTAAAAGTCACTATGCTGTTTTTCAATATGATATTTAGGGAATATACACATTGATATGCTTTTGAAAAATAATAATACAGAGAAAAGTAAATATATCTTCCAAATATCTAAAAAAATTCAAATTTATATATAAGTGGACTTATGCAGTTCAAAACCGTGTTGTTCAAGGGTCAACTGTATTTTAGATCAGTATTTGAGAATCCAGGTATGCAGAGTGCCAACTTAAGTTATACACAGATTTTTGAGGAATTTATAGGGGTCAGCATTATTCAAGGGTCAACTGCATACCCATTCCTTCAATCTTCTTAGCTACATAATTCAGATTATCTATGTCTTTGTGTCTCCATTTGATCTAATAAAACTAAGACAGTTTCCCAAAAACTTTCTGTCAGATATTTCTTTTGTTTTTAGGAGTTTCTGCATTGTCTGTTTTCTGACTGTGGTGGGTTTTTTGCTTGTTTGTTATTGCTAGCTTCTCCAGCAGTGCATCTACCTATTCCTGGCTCCAAGTCCTGGGAGGTGGGAGTAGGGCAGGAAACAAGTTATTCTACCTTCTGGGATCCAGTAACAGCATCTTCTTTCTTCTTTATCCGTCAAACCCAGGAGGTGAGTGGCATTTACCTTTTACTAATCTCTAGATTGCCTCACTATTCTGTTTAGCATCTCAGCTATACTATCAACTGTGTAACCAAATTATTGCATTAAAATGTCTGTTTTAAATAATTAGAATGGTTTCTTTTTGCCTAATTGGGCCCTTTCTCTAAAATAAAATTATATCTGTTTCCAGTGAATTTTTCGGGCAACTGTGGTAAGATCATATAAAAGCACAAGTAAGTAGGAATTCACTGAGCTCAGAAAACAGGTTGTATGAACTTATTTGTGCCTGCTTGAAAACAAATGCTTGTTTAACAAATATCGGTGTATTGGCAGAATTTGATCTAAGATAAGCTTCCATTATAATTGGGAAATGAGGTTTTGAGGTGGTAGCTAACCCTGCCTTACTTTTAAATATTGCTGCTATTATTTTCCATAAGAAAGAACCTAAGGGTTGCACATGAACAAATTGGCTCAATGGGTTGGAAAAGCAAGTTATCAAAGAATAACACAGTGACAATGGAACAATATGTGACCTAGAACTTTTTGATTTTTCTTTGGATAGAAACATTGCCTGGGATAAGAATAAGCCTGAAAATTGGACCCAATGCCTTCAGCCGTGGATTGTAGAAGGACTCAGGCATGGATTAAGGAAATTATTATGTCCGCAAACTCCATCTAAGTTAGTACTGTGATATCACCATCATAAGATTGATAAAACTTACTAGAGGCCCAGTGCATGAATTTGTGCTTTGGTGGGGTCCGCTGACCCATCCGTAATCGGGGCTGATCGGGGCTGGGCCCGTAGGAAGGAGGAGATGGCGGCTGATTGCCCAGTGGGCCCTGCCCCCTGTTGGGGTTGGGGGGGCTGATTGGGGGTGGGGTGGCCATGG